TTTGGCCAAAAGGTGCCAATGTGGCAAATGTTTTGTGCTTAACATTTTTATGGCTGCCATAAGTTGGCCAGAGTGTGGTAAATACTGCAGTTGCCACTGCCACTGGCCAGGAGCAACTAACTGACCGCAGGCCGTACCTATGGCCATGCGAACCGGATCGTGTCTTGACACTTGAGGTATCGGTTTCATTAGCGAAATGTTTCCGTAAGAATGCCAAAAGGTCGCAATTGAAGCCATTTACAAGACGATTGCCAAGCCATGGCCATATATGTGTAGCTATTGGCATTGGCCGTGGCGGTGGCAAAGCCGGGGCAGTGGCATCTCTTGTCGTTTAATATATATTTCGTGTATTGGGTTTCGCGATATTATCCTAGTCCGACATCTCAGTCGATTTGTTTGGCCCCTGCTATTCAATAAATTTATCAAATTGAAAAATGTGCAATCGAAATCAAATCAAAGCTCGGCTCTGGACTGGCCATAGAGGAGTGTGTTGATTTTTATGGAATTGTTGGGGAAACAATTCGGCAAATCGCTTTGCAATCAGCAGCCTCGGATTAAGCCCAGACCAGTCGCATTTGGTTAACCCTGCTGCTTGGTTACACTCAAAGAAAACATTATATAATATACAACCCAGAATTAGAATGATTTAAATAGGGACCTCTCATTTTATACCATTTACCTGCCTTGCCTATGTTATTGGAGATGTATGGGAATTGAAATATTAAGTTTGATAAACAATTATATTCCCCGTGTAGTGGTATCCCATACAAACGACTTGTGACAAAATGACGAAATTTATGTTACCTTTTTTGCATCGGCAAAGTGCAAACCGTTGCAGATTTCCAAAGGGGCGGGCAAGTGGGCAGTCTGTCAGCAACAAATGCAAAGCGCCAAAAACTGCGACACTTTGTATAAATTGTGTTGAAAACAGCAGCAGCAGCCGGAACAGGAGCGGGAAGGGGCAAAGAAGCGGGAGCGGCAACAGCTCTAAGCCAACTCCGTCTGTCCAAGGCAATTTCAGTCTCAACCCGGCCGACTGGCGATCCGGCGATCGGTGCTGGCCACACCCCCTCGGGCAAATGCAACAAATTATTGTCATCAATTTTTAGATGCAAAGCTCGAGGAGTGACATTTATTGAAGCATGGCTGGAGCAACGGCAGGGGCCCCTGGCCAGGCTTTCAGTCTCAGTTGACTTCGGTTCAGTTCAGTTCGGGTCCAGGACGTGATTGCTCCACATTGCAGGCGGCTGGTAATGTTGATGATGATTATAGGCATAGTCCGGCATGGTTATGCTTCAGACAGAACTGCGAGAAACTTTCAAGTCTTGCGATTTCATCTTTATTTAAATTTTCACTTTTATTTACTTAGACAATATGCCTATTTTGCCAGTGTATTCCCGTTTAGGCAGTTCCTGGCCTGTTAGGAATGACACGTCCATTGCTGATTGCTAGGAAACGATGGCAACAAGTGGCCATCGGCTTCCCATCCACTTAAATGAGTTTTTCGCTGGGAGTATTCATGGGTCTTATATTTGGCTGTGTTTTTTGGTTTCTTGTTTTACTTTTGTTTCAGAGTTTTCAGTTTCTGGCGGCAATTGCTTCATTAGCAGCTTTAGCCAAAAAGTAAAAGCCAAAAAGTTATGACCATATTTGTGCTAAATTATGAGGCCCTTTCATAAATCAGGCAGTCGGGCAGCGGCGACCTAGCGAAAAATGCCAACCAGTGCTTAGTGTGGCACCATTAGCAACATTGCTATGGCCGGCCTAGAAAATCGGGAAAACTCTCGCAAATGGTCAGCGGCGGAAAATTTACATTGTGCTGGGACGTGGACAATTGCAAGTGCTCGACTTACTTTAAACTATGCCATTTATCATATGCGAAAATATTTTGTCAGTCCGCTTTTGGCCTTTTTACCATTTTGCCATTTTCACCATTTCCATTTGGCCATCTTTCGCTTTTCAATGCGACCAGGCCAGATCGGGCCTGGCCCGTTTGCAGTCGTTGTCTTGAGCTGGTCGTTACATGGCGGGAACCGTCCCCAAAAAGGCTACCGTTTTCGGCGAGGGAGTTGGGAGGTAGGATTCGTGGAAAGGCTACAGTTGGCTCGTGCATGTCTCGTGGCCAGTAACAATAACCGAATAACTGAACTGGACAACAAAAGCCCCCAAAAAATTGTCGGATGTACTATCACTTGCATTACGGTTCGAGTTGTAGATTTTTGCCATGAACACGTTTACATATGAGTTACCTTCCTGGGGCAGTGTCTGCGCCAAATGCTGCCGAACAAATGGAACGGGGCCATGATCTCTGGCTGAGCGGCCCAGGAAGACCTGTAGACCTCAAAAACAATTACCAGGTTGCCAGTGTCAGTGCTCGTATTAGTTCCAGGAGTAAGGACACTCCAGGCATCAAAATGTGGGTCGTTCAACTGAGTTTCATGGCTGGGTTGAATGCAAATGAGTTATCGCTTTTACGAGAGACACTAGTCATAAAAAATATGGCTCTTTCAAAACTTAAAATATTGTTAGAATAAGAAGAGCCAAAATTTTATTATTTTCCTGGACTAACTCTGTTGCAATTTTCAGTATTCGTGTATTTTAACTGTGTTAAGTAAAATTATGGCATTGCAAAAGATTAAAATACAAGAATGCCCTGAGGCACTTATGAACTTTGGGGCTTTTCTTGGTAAATTGACATCTCGGGTTGCGTATAACCCGACCAGCCAATTAAGACTCTACGTGACCTCCAGACCAAAAAACAAAACTGCAGATAAAGGCTGATGGGACGACACAAAAAAAAACGAAATAATAATAAAACCAACAAGATTCGGTGCCCTGCCATCTTAAGCTTTCCATGCTGCCAATCTTTGTGTGCTGGAACCGCGAGATACTCGGTATGTGCAGCTAATTGACCGGCCGGCGATGATGCACTTCATCAAAAAATGAAAAAATACCAAAAAAAGCAGAAGCCACAATCAGAAATGACAAATCCAAAAAAGAGCGTCTGAGTGAGACTCACTCAAGTGGCGGGGCATTACGTCAACGTCAACTTGATTTGGCGGACAACGAGTTGGTTGCGGCGGAGTCTCCAGCTAGTGAGGACTCCAGGGAGAGGAGTAGCTCTGGAGGCTGGGGACAGAAGGCGGAGGCGGGGCTGAGTGCGGGTCAAGTGCTGACGCATCAGCCAAATCCAGTGGAGTGCACCATAACATATACATAAATGCTTGAAAAATATAATGAGCGGAGTAGTGGATTCGGCTTTTTTGTTTTTTTTTTCTGATGGCATTGTTGTTGGTATGGATTTTATTATTGTTGTTATTTCCAGCATCATTAAGAGCGATCATCTGTCAGGCCGATTGGCGCATAAACGAGATTTCTGCCTCGTTTGAGAATCGCCTGCTTTTCTATGACGACTTATTATTTAAATTTGTGACTATACTAAATTAATCAACTATGAAAATTTAACTTCAGATTGAGCCGAAAACACCCTTATTTAGCAGATAAAGGACATATTCCTTCCTAAGAATATAGTCTTCTAAGTTTTTATTCATCGATCTTAAAATCGTTAAAATTATTCCACTCAGAAGACTTTGAAGAGGGAATAACAAAAAAATTCCTAAAAATATTTGACGATATATGTAAAAAATATATTGTCCCTAGATTTTTATGCAGATTGGTGGAGAAACGATCTACAAATCGTTTGAGGTATTCTGCTCAAGAACCGGATGGAAATTGGTCAAGATATGGGTATCGCTGGGGGCCAAATGGGTCATCCATGCAGTTTTGACCATTTTTCAGGGGTTTCCCCAGAAAATTTGACGAAAAATCTAAAAAATATATTGTTTCTAGATTTTGATGCAAATTAATGGAGAATCGATCTACAAATCGTTTGAGGTATTTCGCTCAAGAATCGGATGCAAATTGGTCAAGATATGGGTATCGCTGGGTGCCAAATAGGTCATCCATGCAGTTTTGACCATTTTTCAGGGTATCCCCCAGAAAATTTAACGAAAAATCTAAAAAATATATTGTTTCTAGATTTTGATGCAAATTAATGGAGAATCGATCTACAAATCGTTTGAGGTATTCCGCTCAAGAATCGGATGGAAATTGGTCAAGATATGGGTATCGCTGGTGGCCAAATAGGTCATCCATGCAGTTTTGACAATTTTTTAAGGGTATCCCCCAGAAAATTTGACGTAAAAACGAGAAAATATTTTGTCCCTAGATTTTGACGCAAATTGATGGAGAATCGATCAACAAATCGTTTGAGGTATTCCGCTCAAGAATCGGATGCAAATTGGTCAAGATATGGGTATCGCTGGGTGCCAAATAGGTCATCCATGCAGTTTTGACCATTTTTCAGGGTATCCCCCAGAAAATTTGACGAAAAATCTAAAATATATATTGTTTCTAGATTTTGATGCAAATTAATGGAGAATCGATCTAAAAATCTTTTGAGGTATTCCGCTCAAGAATCGGATGGAAATTGGTCAAGATATGGGTATCGCTGGGGGACAAATTGGTCATCCATGCAGTTTTGACCATTTTTCAGGGGTACCCCACAGAAAATTTGACGAAAAATCAAAAAATATATTGTCCCTAGGTTTTGATGAAAATTGATGGCGAATCGATCTAGAAATAGTTTTAGCTATTCCTCTCAAGAATCGGATGGAAATTGGCCAAGATATAGCTATAGCTGGGGGCCAAATCGTTTAATTTAGCCGTGGCTGTGGGATCTGTAGGTGGAAGATTCATCATACGGATCATCATACTATCTATAAAAAACCGCATTCTACATATTTTTTGTTTTAGTTAAATTAAAACATGCAACTAACGAGCAAAAACTTGTAATCATACAAAAAATGGGACACCTGAAACCTGGGTCTTGTCTAATGAGTCAGAGGGTGGCTCCAACACCTTCTTCCCTTGGGACAAGCTAATTGCCACTTAAAAATCAGAATAAAAGGTGGAGTAGGGAATATGATGCGACATTCAACATGGAGCGGGCTTATTTGCTAGTCATAGTAGTTCTTCTAGGTACTGAAACGATACATTCCTCCTATCGTTGGTTGCTGTACGAACTAAAAAGTGAACTTAATTTGGAATATGTTGTGTTACTGGGAAAGAGCGAACCATTTTTGCAGGAGCTTCTTTGGCAGCTGCCAGTTCCCATAATAAAAATGGATAAAGAACCGGAAACTAAATCATCCCTCGGAATACACCATTCCCACAAGTTTCTTACCATTGCTTTTTTGGAAGAAACTGTGGACGAGTGCCTGCACCTCCTTTATTCAACTTTGAAAATGCTAAACACTCAACCTGTGCTTTTGGTTGTAAAATACTCGAATATTCGAATTTATTCAATTCTGGAGTGGTGCTGGCAGCATAAACTACTAAATGTCTTAGTTATTGATCCGGACTTTCAGGTAAGATTTGGTTCTAAAGGGATTAAAATTGAAAAAATTATATATTGTTAAAGGTTCGCGAACCGGGGATTTCTTTTTCGTTGAGAACTTCGAGCTTGCCTCCGCCAAAGTAGATAGGTTATCATTTAATAATCCCGGGCTAGTGGAGGTTTCATCTGTTTCAGTTGTTGCAGGCGCCTTTGTTAAATCAACTATAAAATTATTTATTTCTGCTGTTACTGTCATTGCTTTCGTCAATTTTGATATGGGATTTGGATTTATTTTCCCACTTGAAGGTTTAGTAGGATAATGTTTTTTGTTTGAAATTGGTTGAGTAGTTGGTTCGGCGGATGATGGTGAAAATTCCTCCTCTATCGTGAAGCTAGTTATTGATTTATTTTTATATATCTTAGTTGGCAAGGCGCCTAAAATTTCCAATGGATTAAGCTCTTCAGATGAATTTTGCAGTTCTGCTTCGTCATCCAAGAGAGCTTGACAGATTTCAATGCATTCACTTTTTCTTACAAATCGATTGGGATTTCCGCCGCAGCCACTATAAACGAATTCTACGCAACGATTGCTAGTAGAATCAAAGGCAAACATATTGTAATGGCCATTACAGGGTCCGGAATTGGCCATAAACGAACATTTTTCTATTAATAGATGATCATTTTGATTTTAAGTTCTGTTAAAAATAAATAACTTACCTTGGCGAAAAGGTTGAGAAAAACTTAGCAAAAAAGTCTGCATAAAAAGCAAAAGACCTAGAGTTAGTTTCATAATTTTTAGAAAGAAAATTTTCATCTGTATTATATATTTGTGAATTATACATCACACGACTTGTTTGATGTTTATTTTCAGGACTCTATGATTGTCTACGGGTATACACCCTTTCCGATATTTCAATTTATTGAGCGGCGCCTGCAAAACAATACCATTATTTTCGAACAACGTCTTTGGAATCTCAATGGATATAAGTTGCCAGTTGTTGTGGGTGGATCTTCGCCCAGGTTGATTGTTTATCGTGGAATGAATGGAGAGTTGATATATTCGGGAATGGTTGGTAACCTAATGAAATGCTTTGAGCAGCGATTTAATTGCAAGCTAGTCCAACCATATCCCTTCGACGAGTCAGCTATTCCACCTGCCCAAGAACTTCTAGGATTCGTGCGAAATGGGAGCGCACAGTTCGCGTTGGCAGCGATATATCCAAAGTTTCCGTATAATGGCTATAGTTATCCCATTGAACTGATGAGTTGGTGCTTGATGATGCCAGTGCCGGCAGAAGTACCTCACAGTCACCTGTACACAATGGTCTTTCATCCCTCTGCTTTTTGGCTGATTATTGGTGGTTTAATACTAATCTCATTGACTTTATCACTTGCGCTGCGACTTCACGGATATCGGGTTAATGTCAGTGAATTTTTCCTGCACACTAGTTGCTTCAGAGGGATACTCTCTCAGCCGTTTTACGAGGTCCTTAGGGCACCAACTTTGGTCAGAGGTATCTACCTACTTATTTGCATACTTGGCATCCTGATCACCGCCTGGTACAACTCGTACTTCTCTACCTTTGTCACCAGTCCACCACTACTCCCTCCATTTACAAGTTACGAGAGCATAAAAAACTCCCACGTGAAGGTTGTAGTTTGGACACCAGAGTACCAGGTGCTCATCCGAATGGCCGAGAGCTTGGAAAAGTACTCGGCGATCTTTCAATTCCAAGAAAGTTACAAGGAGTTCCTGCTGCTACGCGACTCTTTTGACACACGTTACGGATATATGATGCCGCTGGAGAAGTGGTCTTTGGTCAAGGAACAACAGAAGGTATTTAGTTCACCATTGTTCACCCTGCGAGAGGACTTGTGCTTCTACCACACAGTTCCCATTGTGTTTCCCATAGCGGAAAATTCGGTATTCCGGGAGCCATTGCAGCAGTTGATTCTGGATGTCACGGCCACGGGTCTTCTGGATCGTTGGCACGACATGGCCTTCACGGACATGATTAAGGCCGGCCAGTTAAGCCTGGTGGATCGCGGAAAGCCCAAGGAGTTTCGAGCTATGAAGCTACAGGACTTGGACCAGATTTTGATAGCTGGTGGATTGCTACTGGGCCTGGCCACTATAGTATTTGTGTTAGAAGTGGTTTGGTTTTGGCGCAAGAAAATCTCAAGCTCTGTACTATCACGTTTTAATGTTAGAGCCTAAATAAAACATATCTACTTACCGCATGCCTATTAACCTAATAGGAAATACACAAAATTGGTGATAATTTTTCTATCATTAAGCTTGTCCTCGCTGTTGTCCGGCTGAGGTTACATCAGTGTTTTTCCTTGTTATCCCAAGGGTATAGTTTTTTACAATTTTGGTTGCCTTTTTTGCGCCCGGGACTTGTTAACATGTCCGGCTAATTGGAATTAACCATTAGCGGCGTTCATTAGCAACCCTTTAAATGTGCAGCCGCATCAATCAGTGTCATGCAGTTGTCCCTCAACCATCGTGATGGATTGTCCTAAGTGGATACTAGGCGGCCTCTGCCTGATTAGCTGGGCCAGTGCCTCCACGTTAATTGAAATACTCGGCAGGATAAGGCAGGAGTTGGACTTTGAATACATGCTGCTCCTAAAGAACAGAAACAATACTCTTACAGATGGAACTTGGAATGAAAGTACTTTGCCAAAAGATCTAATGGAAGAGTTGTCTGTTCCTGTTGTCCAACTGGATGAACAAGCTACTTATTTTTTTTTTAATAACACAAACAATCGTGTAATATCCCTTGTTCTTCTGGACAATAGCAATATGGATGATCATAGAGATTTGTTGAAAGCTTTGGTTTTGAATCTAAGGCATATGACCACAACCAGAGTAATGTTTTTAATACAAATGCCAAGGGCCAGTGAAACGATGTTGTACGAATTGTTTTCCAACTGCTGGAAAATGAGATTGCTAAACGTAATGGCTCTTTTTGGAGATTATGAGGTATGGAAAAATAAATTTACACCAAATAACTTTACATATCTGAGAAAAATATTTCATTTTAGCTTACGAAGACCTTCTACGGCTATTCCCCTTTCCCAACCCTGCGGATTGAGGAAAGCCTTTTTGAAATATCCGAAAAATCTGTCACTTTTTATCCTGATCGTCTAAGAGACTTACAGGGCTTTCAGTTGCCGGTGATCATTGGCGGCACTGCTCCTCGCATTATTCCCTACTACGACAAGAAGAGACAGATTGTTTATGACGGAACTGTGGGGCACTTCATGATGGCCTTCCAGCAAAGGTACAATTGCAGCTTTGTCCAGCCTCTGATATCCAAAAACCCTCTTGAATTTGCGCCTTCAATGCAAACAGTGAGAGCAGTTCGCAATAATTCCGTGGAGATGTCAATGTCTCTGACTTTTCCACCTGTGTTCCCTCCATTCGGATTTAGCTATCCCTACGAGCAACTAAACTGGTGCCTTATGATGCCCCTGGAAGCTGATGTACCACCTTTGGAGTACTACACCAGAGTCTTTGAGCTGGCTGCCTTTTTGTTGACCTTGGGCGTTTTGGTCATAATATCCTGCCTTCTAGCTAGTTCTATGTGGCTTCACGGTTATCCGATTGCCTCCACTGAGTTCGTCCTGCATGACAGCTGCCTGAGAGGAGTGCTGGGACAGTCATTTGTGGAGGTGCTAAAGGCTCCTACTCTAGTTCGTGGAATTTACCTGGAGATTTGCGTGCTGGGCATCCTGATTACGGCCTGGTACAATTCATACTTTTCAAGCTATGTGACTACTGCACCGAAGCAACCCGAATTCCGCAGTTACGACGACATTTTGGCATCTAGGATGAAAGTGGTGGCTTGGAAGCCAGAATACGCGGAGCTTTTCGGACGACTCTTAGAGTTTCGCAAATACGAGCCGATGTTTTATGTAGAACCAGACTTTAGTAAGTATCTCGCTCTTCGGGACTCGTTGGATACTAGGTACGGCTACATGATCCCCAACGGTCGATGGCTGCTGATTAAGGAGCAGCAGAAGATTTTCTCCAGACCTTTGTTTCGCATGCGCGATGACTTTTGCTTCTATAACAACATACCCTTTGGATTTCCCATAAACGAGAACTCTGTTTTCATGGAGCCTGTTCTCAGGTTGATAATGGTACTGGCCGAGTCGGGATTGTCCTTTCACTGGATGGAGACTGCATTTTTGGAGATGATCCAAGCAGGGGAGATGCATTTCCTGGATTTAAGTCAGAGAAGAGAGTTTCGAGCTATGCAGGCCCAAGACCTTCAGTATATTTGGTATGGTTTTGGTTTTATGGCAGTGTTTTCAAGTATTGTGTGGATTTTGGAAAATATCTGCTACAGACTTAGAGGCAAGACCCATTTATTAAAATAACTTATGTTTTGGAGAAAAAAATGAAACATAAAATATGTAACTTTTTATTTAAAATCTCTTTTATATATTAATGCTTAATTATTAATTAAACTTTCTCAAATGGAATAGCCAGGCTGGGGTCAGGTCTCTCCCATTTAAGAATAAACGAGCTCTAAAATAAATGAATATTTTGTTTAACATCAAGGGCTTTTAACGAAGGCAGATCATTTTTTACGACTGTTGTTATCCAGCTGCATTATGGTTATTTGTCTAGCCATCAATGATGACTTTCCTTTCGGGTTGCCTTTGCTGCGCTTGGGTCTTAACTTCTTGCCACACTCGATGATCTTTCTGGTCCCGATTTTCATTGGGCAAATATTTGCACAGCACGGCAGCTATCCGGCTCAAAGTTCAACATCGAAAGCAATTAAGACGCGTGCTTGTTGCAGTGGCAGCTGGGAGCAGCAACCTGGGAGCTGGAAGATGGAAGCTTAAAAAAGCCAGGATCCCAGTTGTGGTTAGTAGATGAGCTCCCCCAAAGGTGCGCTGATGTTAGCCACCTGTGCGACGGCAACTGGCGCCTCTTGAAATTCCCTAATCGACATGTTTCGATCTCAAACGACTTGGCCGGCCGCGGTGATGCAGTCGTGTTGGCCCGATTGTGGAGTGAGAAATTTTCTCTAATCTGCGCTGATGGCACGCATTTGTTGGCCCCCCCGCGGATGTCTGGGGCCGGGTACTTTGATTTTGACTGACAAGTGCCGCCTGCCTGACTGCTGCAATGGATGTTGCGGTTGTTGCTGTTGCAGTTGTTGGTGCTGCAGATGTTGCAGTTGCTGTTGACATGCGCAGCTGCATGCGCTTTCGTGTGCAACGCGCTCCTTTATTGGAGAAAATTATTTCAGACCTCAACCGTCGACCAGTCGACCAGTCCGACCCATCGCATCGCATAACGAGCTGAAACTAATTAACCCAGGCAGACACGGGGCGCATCTTAATTGTCAATAAAACGTTTTAGATTTCTTTATTTTTAATGCTTGCAATACTAAAAAAATTAATGCAAAACTTAACCGCAGATGGATGTGTATGTTTGGAGTGTGTTTTGTTGTCTTTTTTGTGTGTGTGCATAAATAATAACTAACAAACATTTAACTAAGATTTTCGATGTGTGGCTTAGCCTAGGCTCGGTTACAAACAAGGATCGCTCTCCCTCTTTCTCTTTTCATATGTTTATATATAGTATATATACTATATCTTTCTTTCTATGTACATTAACTATTTAGTTCAATAAATTAGCAGAAAATACTCGTATTGCAAAGTGTATACAGTTTATAACAAAAATCGTTAAAACGTTACATAACCCAAACACCATTGAAGATATTTTTGCGTAATCTTAAGCTAATGTCCATTAAAAACTATCACAAAATAATTGGCAGTTTATTAACCATTAACTACGGTTGATTTATCAATTAGCTTAGTCTAGGCTTATTTCACAAGTTGGGGGAATGTCGATTAGTTGTTATTTGATTGTAGGGAGTTCGCTTTAGGAATGCGCTGCTTTGTGCTTATCAAATACAAAAAATAATGGCAAGTGCAAGTTGAGCTGCATTTTGATAACAACTTCTGAACGCTGGAGTGTACATACATATAATTAATATCTATAATTATGTGTCAAGTTATGTACTAATGTACAGAATGCCTTTGAAGTCGGTCAACACTGGGCCCGGGAGATCAAAGAGATCCCTGAAGGAGAAACGAGTGGGAAAGTTGTGGTAGGATGAGCTCCAAAAGACGTATTTCGAATTTAGTGCCTCAGGTCAGTGCTCCTTCCTCAAGCTATTGGCATTCCCCTTGCTGGCTTTAGTTTCATTCAATAATGAGTATATATACATTAACACTAGCAAACAAATTTATGCTAATTTGGGTAGAGCAACTAAGAAAACAAATACTTTCAATTTACAGGAAAAACACGAATCGTGCTGGGCTAGTTTTGTTTATATATTATTTTTTCGAAGACTGTGAAGAGTTGCGGGTGAGTAGGATTTATTTGGAGCATTTCATTATTAATATTATAAAAAAAAACTACAAAAGTTTTCTCTCGTTTAGCAAGGAAGCGTTTGGCCTCATTTTGATATCACCACTCGTAGAATTTCTTCATTAGCTTCGTTACACTTCTATCTCTACACGTCTAGCATACGATTATTTAAGGTTAACTTTAACTGCTAGTAGCGTAATTAAAATCTTCAAAATTTGGCACATTTAAAATTAATTTGTTTCATATAAATGTACATTAAGTATTGAGTATTGTATTTGGAAGTGCTTCGAGTGTGTTTGTGTGGGCATAGTAGGAATTGCACAGAAAGCTGAAATAGGAATTCATCAATGTCGTAAATTCGAGTTGGGAGTATTGTATTTTTAAGGCGTCTTTATAGTTTATAGTATAGTTTCTTATTTTCATTTGTGTTTTGAGTTTGTGTCTTTCTTTTTGTGATTAAGGAACAAGAAATAGGTTTGGCCGGGAAGGTTCCCTCCCTGTTGGCCACTACCGATTGGTTAACAGCCCATTGGCTGGGGGCAGCACTCCGGGCGGTGTGTTGGGATTGCTGATCATCACGGGCAGACTGGGCGGCCCTACGCCACCTCCGACTCCCACTTGCCGCTGGTTTATGGAGACAGCTGCCGCTGCCGCCGCCGCCGCTGCTGCTGCCGCTGCTGAGGAGGAGCCACTGGACCGCTGGTGCTTGCCGGAGCTTCCTTTGATCAGGTTGCCGTTGTTTTTCTGGGTCATATGCGTTTGGTAGTGCTTGGCCAGGTGGGCCTTCTGCCGGAAACTCTTGCCGCAGAGGGAGCAGGCAAAGGGCTTCTCCCCCGTGTGGGTGCGTATGTGCACGTTCACCGAGTACTTGTCCTTGAATCCCTTCGAGCATATGGAGCAGTAGTGCAAGGAGCGCTCCTTCCGCTGGCCACCTCCTGACGAGGACGACGAGCTGCCACCGGAGTTGGCGGGCGGACTGTTGCTGCTGCTGCTGGCACTGCCACTGGAGGAGGAGCTCCCACTCCCACTGCCGCTGAGCACACCCAGAGGATTGCTGCCGTTGCTGCTGTTGTTGTTGGCAACATTGGGATTGTTGTTGTTGCTGCTGCTGCTGCGTTTGTACTGCTTCTTGGGCTTGGATGGTCCACCAGACGACCTGGAGGCATTTCCAACAGAGCTGGGGGAGGTGGACGTGCTGACCTCCGGTTTCAGCGGTTGTGGTGGCTGCAACTGGACCGAGGCAGAGTTCTGAATAGGACTGGGGGATATTTGCATAAGCACATCTCCTCCGGCCGGAGGACCATAGTCCCCGACTGGAGTGGGTGCTCCCGTGGACCCTCCACTGCAGAACTGCTGAACTTCGTTGGCTATGCGCTTCATTTTCTCGAAATCATCGCTAAAGGCGTCCAGCGACACGAACATGTCATCCACAATTATGTTGGCGTTGCCGTTGTGCTGCTGTGGCTGCTGCTGGTGCTGGGAGTTGATGTGCAGGCCCTGGGCTTCGTCGAATATTTGGGCAGCGCTAAGTGTGGAGTCCGCGAATCCCAGGGCTTCCGCCGTCTCATCTGCAAACAGTAATCGCCGCATGTCCTCATCCTTCACCACCGGCATGACCAGGCCGTTCTGCATGTGCAATCCCTTCCCATAACCCTTGCCTTGGAGCGCACTCCTCAGAAGGGATTCCGCCGTGCTCTGTTCCGTTTCGGCGTTGTGGTCCGCCATGTGCCAGTCGTTATTGTTGTTCTGGAACTGGGCCAACTGCTGACCCAAATCGTTGCCACCGGATAGCGAAATGGCAGTGACCAACGAGGGTAGGGTTTGCGTTTGGTTCTGAGCCTGGGGAATACTGCCTGTTCCTGATCCTCCTCCGCCTCCTCCGTTCACAATTACATCCTTGCCATCTGTGCTGAAGCCGCTGTCGTCATAGGGATATTCGGACTTAATGTACCCCGGAAAACTGCCCAGCAAACTGTCCAGATCCAGAGCACTGGGAAGCTGCTCCGCCTCGGAGCGCTTCAGCCAAGGCTCTCCGCCGTTTAATACTGTCAGGGTGTAGATCTGGCCGTCGGTGGTGTCCAGGCTGCTGATCGTGTCGCTGTTGCTTCCCGCTCCACTGGATGCCCCCGAGGAGCTGCCAGCGTTTCCTTGCTGCTGCTGTTGCAGCTGCTGGTGCTGCGGTTGCTGCTGCTGATGTTGCTGCTGTTGGTGCTGCTGCTGGTGAGATTGTGGCGAGGTGGGGCTGGGCTGGTTGTTGCTGGCTGTTCCTCCATTACTGGCGGCGGATGCTGTCACAGTTTGCTGTTGCCAGCAGTAGCGGTCTAGATCCTCGAAGAAAGAGCTGGAGTCGAGGCGGCTGTTGTCCTTGTCCTGGTTCCAGAACTGGAAAGGATACAAATGATGGAAAATGGTAAGTCAAGAAGAAATTCGTTACCTTATGGAAGGGGGATAGCTTTCTAGCATAAAACGACCACAAAAAGAAATATATATCCTTTGCTTACCTCGTATCCTTGTAACGTAGGATCACCGCCATTGCTGCTACCATTGCGACTGACCACTGGCACTACGACACTACTTCCGCCGCCCGCTGTACCACCGCCACCTGCGTCGTGGATCCGTGATCCAGTCCCGCTGCAAAGGCCTTGTTGTTGCTGGGATTGTGACGAAACTGGCTGGTGTACCACCTGAATGTGGCTGTTGTTGTTGTGACTATGCGGCTGGTGGTTGGGATGATGATGGTGCTGTTGCTGATGTAGGCTTACACCTAGGGCTTCGACGCCCACACCAACACCAACGCCAATACCGATTCCCATGTCGGGTCCGGTGACAAAGTCGAAAAAGTCCGCCTTCGAAAGATCCTCGGCACGAAAGGACTCGCTGATGTCCATACCAGTCGATGCGGAAAGGTCCTCGGTGCCGATCATTTGGTGAGCCTGAAGCGCCAGAGTAGCGCCTTTAAAACCAATAACTGGTTCAAGTTCTAGGAAATAAGTTAGCTGTAAGAGAATAAAGAAAGGATATTAGAGATAAGTATTACAAATATCAAAAGCAGATCAACTTAAATATCATGTAAATAGATTTTGAGTAAAATAGACTTGATTTCGCTTTCGGTTTCACAATTTCTCCAGCACTTGCACACACGAAACACCAGATTGCATTAAAAGTCACACCAATTGATTAAAGCCACTTGTCAGCTGGCCACTTAAGTCAATCAGTCATTCACATTCGCATTCGCTCATTCTAGCCACATGGCCCGGGCCTGCATTCCGGCCATACTTGCATTTTAATTTGAGGCAGCCCGGCTCGGTTTCTTAGCCGCTTCGCCTCTCAGACTTTTAGCCGGCTATCTGCAAATAAATAAATCAAACTGACAGAAGGGTGACAAAGTGTAAACACATTTGGCGTGCTCGACTCGTAAATCTCTTGGTCTTTGGCTAATGCCAAACTGAACCTGTCGCTGCGACAGTTTTTTGGCCTGGCTTATTTGATATTTCGCTGCCCAGCAAACTTTGTATTGTCTTGTTTCATTTGCATAGATTCGGCAAGTGCCCGGCATTTAGAATAGTTGCAAAAAAGCAGTGTGTGGCTACTGTTTGCTGCTCAGGTACAGGTATCCCACATATACCCCTAAGGTGATCGAACCAACAGGCCTGGCTATTTCATTTACCGTATCTGTATCTGTATCTGTATGAGTTTGTTTTTTTTTTTTAGCAAACGTACCCCCAAGTCGTGTTCTGGCAAATGTGCCAAATGTTCAAATTGTCAAATTGATTCTACTCCTTTTATTTTGGTTCCCCCGACACTGACACCGACATCGAAACCGACTCGCATTTGTATATGAAAAATGAAAAAATGGACCTTACCCTGGCTTACTCTGACTGGTTGCCGTTTCTATGGCGGCGTGGCAGTGTGGCAGCGTGAGAACCACAAACAGAAATGACTTAACAAATTTGCATGGCTCGTACGTAGAGCTTGCATAGTTTAGATAAGGGCGAAGCGTAGAGAAAATGCCGCTGCTGGAAAATATTTTAGATGCTGATGCTGCGGCTAGAAACTTTAAGTGCAATATCTCGAAGGGGAATCAGGCTGGCAGGGGGCATCTGTAGCCAAGAAATAGCCAAGACAGCTGCAGCAGCATCAACACCTGATCGCTAAATACATTCAAAGGAGGCAACAAAATGCGGCAACAAGTGCAGGCCATTTGGTAAGCGGTCAGTTAACATTTTTAAAAAGGCTCCCAAAGGTGAGCTTGTTTTTCCTCGTTTATCGTTCGTCCATCGGCCTGGGAGGCCAACGAAAAAAAAAAACAAGACAGACTTTTAAATTTCACCAAAAAACAAAGACTGCGTAATCATTTGAGGCCATTTGCCTGCCGACTGTCAGCCGCACCAGGCCCTGGCTAGTAGTTTACTTAATAATCATGTTTAAAATGCAGAAATTACTTTATATATATTTTATGGCCAGGAGCGGGGAAATGCGGCCGCCGCGCCACCAGAACGAGCCAAAAATATGAAATAAAATAATAAGCCTTTGTTTGAGCATTTTGGCGCTCAAATATTGACTAATTTGAGCACGATTATTGTGATTTGGAAGCGGGACCGAGTCGGGAAAGAAAGTTGGCCATACCGGCCTGCCAGTCAGTCAGGCGGCCAGTGGAGACGTGCTCATATAACTGGCGGCCAGCCAATCATGGACGTGGTCTTCGTCCATATAGGCACTGTGAAAAATAAATTATATCAAGATCACCTACTAAAGTATTTCAAATATTTAAGGAAATTGTTTATCAAAGTAAATATATTTTAAGTAGGAGTAAGAGTATATTATTAACTTATTTTATACAAATTCTTCAAACTTTTTTCTCTGCATTTCAATGTGTCGGTGGTTGCATTTTTTTTAGAGTTTGGATGCATCTCATGAATGTGGATGTAAAGGTGCATGTGGCGGGCACATGCATCTTCCCATCGGTGATCGTGTCTGCGGCGGTGCCGTGATGAAGATGCATGCGAATGCGAATTCGAATCCGAATACGAATGCATCTGGGATTGGGGTCTAAACGGGAGACAAAAGGGGGGACATGCTGCATTTTATTTCCCCCCAATGCTGCATGGTAATCGCAATCGTAATCGTAGAAATTGTTAGCGCATTTTGGCCAATGCAAACAGCCCGAGGCGGCATCATTTAAAAAACATGATAGCATGATGGGTTTTATGGTCGGATATCCAAAGATATACGTTGGGGGCAAGGAGTCTTGGGGGTCCCCGATTATGGGCCATAAATAAAAACGTTCCAATAATTTGAATGTTTTTAATTAAGCTAGCGCTGCGCGGCACATTTATTTATTTAAAGTTTCCAGGCCGAGTTGACAGGCTAAGGCACCAATGATTTATTCGGGTATGCAAATTGCGCTAGACAAAGGAAAATGGTTAGAAAATATATGGCCAATTTTCGGCACAATTTCTTTGGTCTGGCCGGGTATGATTAGCGGTCGTCTTAGTCTTCGTCTATGTAGCGGGCGTCAAATGCAAAAAAAAAGAGGGGGGAAAAATAAATAAAAAGAAGAAAAGTTGGAAAAATGCATCACGCGGTAGTCAAAAGGCAGCCGTCGTCTAAGATTAGTTTATGTGCAGGAATTTTAATATTGTGGTTACACAATTTTCTCTTGTGTTGCCATCAATGAAAATCACACGCTTTGGCCGCTTCTGCTTCTGCTCCGGTCGCTTTTCTTTGGTGGTGCCACCGATATTGCTGCACAAACTTGTCGCTCTTTTTTCTGCACGATTTTCCACGCATTTTTAACCCAAATACCGTGCTAAACGATTTTTTAATGTCTTCACTAACAAGTTTCAATTACCAATCGTCAAATGCGTGTGCATAAAAACTGGAAACCAGTCGCACTTAACCCACACATTAGCCATCCACCATCTACCATCTACACCCCTTCAATCGCTGACTCAATCAATTAAAATAATTCAAGCCGATTGCAGAGCAAATTACAACAAAAAGTAAAGAAAAGAAGACTACGCGGCAAAGAAGACAATACTGTGGCGGGAAAAACCAGATTGAAGGCTCATATATTTTTTTTCGCTGGGCTGATTCACGTACCGCTATCAAATTGCACTTCGATTGGCCAAAATGGAGCCATCAGAGTGGAAAGCGGCAGTTTATCGAGTGTCTGTCCATCTCTTCGGCTCGTAATCACATTTATTGAGATAAACGATGGGGCGTTCCGCGGCATTGCGTATACGCAGTGTGTGCGTGCACAATGTGATAATTGTGTAAGAAAATGGGTTAATCATGTTCGGCACAGATTTAATGATGCTGCTGGTAAATTTATAGAAGGGGTATATTTTTGTTGGCGACAAGACAAGTTTTCGATATATTGCCATTTTAACGCACAGGAAACGACACAAGCATATTCAAATTGGGAAATTTTCTTTACTGACGCATAAATTACGAAAACCATTCGTAAAACGCTCGTAAAACGCATCTGAAAAACACGGGAGCTCACCTATTTGAATGTGCGTTTTTTATTTGATTTTTTTGCATTTTTGATGGGAGGCACATGCAGCTGCAAAAAATGTTGTATGGTGCCCGGCAAATTGTCATCGTTAGCGAAGTGAGACCGCCGGCCATAAGGCAGTCGATCATTTCTCAGGCAGATAATTATCGCCCACCAGTTGAGAGCCTGGCCCGAAAGCTAAACCAAACCAGCCGGATACGAGTGCGGCAGTTGCAGTTGCAATTTGCTGACCAATTGACCAATAGCTCAGCGGACTGCCGCCTGATAAGAAATGCTGCAGATGCCAAGCAACGGCAATTTCCATTGCAATTGCAATATTGCGATTGCGATTGCAGCTGCAACTGTTGCAGGGGGATTCCGCTAGTGGCTTATGTTTCAATTGCATGCAAATGCATAATTGAATCAAATGGAACTCCTCCTGGACGAGGCAGTGGCAGCGGCATTGGCAGCAGCAACTTTCGAACCCCGCCTAATGAAGTAATCAACGGCCGGCATCTCAAACTTTTTGCTGCCATTGTCAATCAAAAGCCACGTTTTTATTGCGCCTGCGTTACAAACCAAATCGCATCAAGATGTATTAATCATTTTGGCCGCTGCCTGCGTTGGCGTTGGTGGCAGCAGAGGCAGCTATAGTAACAGTAACAGCAACAGCAACAGCAACACTAACAGCGAACAGCAACATCAACAACAACAGCAACTAGCAACAAGCAACCGGCAATGCCATGGCTTTATCAGCTGGCGCAGATCTCTTTGGCATAGCCAGGCGTATAAAAAAAAAACGTCAAATAACTACAGGCGAGACGGGCATGATTAAAATGCGCAAAAATGGCAAACTCCAAATGGGCGCTGCTTGGCAGTAACAGCAACAGTGCAACAACAGCAAAAGCACATGCAACAACAACGGCGTGTGATGTACACGCGGCGCATTTCAATTCCATTTGATTAATGACAAAGCCGTAAAAGCAACTGCAGCTAACGAAGATGTTGCTGATTGGCCTGTTGTCTGTCTCTTGTCTCTTGTCTGTTGGCTCGCCTTTGCCATTGCTGTTGTCAACTGTCGGATGCAATTGTTGTTGCAGCCACATATGCAGCAGATGCTGCACAGATTTTCGTATTTGCATTTGTTTTTTATGTTTGACCATAAACACTATCCGAGCATTAGGCCGGGCGACAGCTCATAAAGCAATAAAAGCCAGGCGTCAACTGGAAACAACACTAGGCAAGGGAAGAAAGCCTTTCGATGCAAATGGACAGGTGTAGGCTAGACTAGAAAGTGTTGCCGCCCACACCGCCAAATTGCATGAAAAGTAGAGACGCTGAAGCCAATATTTATTTATCTGGACGTTGGACTGTTTAATGAAGAAATCAATTACCAAAAAATAAATATTGTTTTTAAAAGCTAATGAATGGTTAATTATTTTGCACTAAAATTAAGTAGTATTTTTTTTTTATAGGCCTATAAAATATTAATGGTTA